AAATGACCAAATATGGGACGGAAATAAGTCCTTCGTTCGTTGTTTATGACCCCATGATTACACTTAGAGACTCTTGGGCACTGCAAGACAAGTACCTATGAACCAGCCAAGGCTATGAGTTTGAAGCTGATGGGGTCTGCATGTCCTGAGAGACCTTGCTACACAAGGGCTACGACATCACCAAGCAGCGTCTAGGCACGGCTGCGTGGCAGCCTTCAGGTTTTTGGTCAACCTCTCCCTAAAAAACATCTGGCCCCCCAAATAAACACATCCAGGAAAACCTAGGTTTCTGAGGGGGAGAGGGAGGATTTGATGTGATATTGGGGGAAGGTATGAAGAATAAGAGATGCCAGTAATACCAGTGTTAGATGAGTGTGCAAACGATCTGTGATTTATTTTTTTCTGTGCTGTTTTTAAAACTATGTACACCTGGCCATGGGTCCGTCCCAACAGGTGTGGTGCGCAAGCCGCACCGGGAGATCACCGCGTGGTGCAAACGCTTTGGAGCCGAGAACAGCTACAACGCCACGGGCAACGGACTCTTGGGAGGGAAGAACTGCCAGGACGGGGCTTGGGGGGAGGAGCTGGCGGGGTCCAGCCCCGTTATCCCCAAAAAGGCTAGCCGCTCGTATCTTCGCATCCCCATAATATCCCCTGTGCTTGTGTGAATCCACGCTGCTAGAGTCTGGTTGTCCGGTCTTGGTTTGGGATGAACACCGATTGACGAAGATTGGCTCAGATGAGGATGAGGATGAGGATGATGATGGTGGTGGTGATGGTGATGGTGATGATGGTGATGGTGATGGGTTTGCAACCATTTGAAACCACCAAACAGTATGGTTACATGTGTGTAAAATCAACCAATTTGGGGTGATTGTGTAATTTAAAAAACATGCGGGTTCCGTCGAACCCACAGGACTTCGTCGTAGAACTATGTGAATTTTTGGGGCCACTTGGCAACGAGCTGGCGCGGCAATTTCCTAGATTGATTGACAGGTAGAGGTATAATATTAGAATATATTACTGTATAATTATGCTTGCAGGTATTCAACTTTGGCAAACCATTTGAAACCATTCATCTTTCATATTGGGGAAGCCAGTTCATTGGGTAGATCGAAGTTCACCAAGGATCGACACGGAGCAGCTCCCATACCGACAGGCAGAGAAGGCACCGTGGATAATTCAACGATGGGCCATGTTTCGTTGGCTAGCTGGTGATCATAACTGGGTTATATAAGTTATATACCTTTATCATCCCTTATCACTAGGCCATAATTAGCTGTAATTGAGTTAGTCAACAGCCATGAACTGATTAATCATTGGGTTATATCCTCTTGTAAAGCCATAAAACAACCAGTCATGTTTGGGGATATAAACCAGTTTCTATCAGCAGTTAACATCAGTTAATCATGGCCGGGGTATCGGCCGCCGGGATCATCGGGTCTACCTTGGATGGTTCGACAGCAGGGTATCTAAGACAAGCCGTGAGACTTGGTGGTAGCGGTTTGATGGAGGTACCCACCATATATTCCAGGCATTCAATAAGGCCTAAATTTCAGGGAATATCCCAACAAAATATGGCCAGAAATATGGTACAGTACCTCCATTTTAGGATCCTTTTTTATTCCCATTGTTTTCACTACGTATTGCATGTATAGCCTGAGATCATCCTGCAAAGGACACTGATGCTTGTAGGGGAAATCATCCCAATAATGCTTGTGCATGGCTCATGGCTCATGGTTCCATTGTATGACAATTCGTTCAGATATATTCTGGATGGATACACCGTAAATTTGGGCAAAGGAAACTTAATTTACCATTATATGTGGCATGTTGTCGTAGGTTATCTCCAGAATTCCCCGTCAACAATCTAACATTACCTTCTGGAGAAAACAAATGAGGCTGCGGACCGAAGAATCCTGACGTAACAAGATGGTATGAACAAATTTGGTTAAAATATTTTCGTTTTGTAAATGGTCTACTTGTTTTTTTCACTCGCTGGGTAAGCTGGATGAATGGTCTCAATATTCCTAGCCATGTAAAAGGAACATGTGCATATCTCAATAGGATGACAGTCGTAACTCAGTAACTCACAGGGCTGCTTTTTCGCTTTGCCATGTTACTTGTAGTTGGATATCCTTAAAGTTGGGCTATAGAATAGTTGGATAGTTGCAGAACTGCATCCACAGTGTGGCACAGTGGAATCTGAGTGGAAAGGCCACTCCCACCTGCCTGGGGATGGAGCAGGTGAAGACCGTGTTGGGCGCCGGCGCGTTGGTGGCCGCTGATGCGGCTCTAGGTGCCTGGTGTTTCACGATTTTTCCCGGAGGATGATTAGTTTGGGGGGTAAAATATGAGGTGTTTAACATGTTTTTAACCATCAACATATGGTGATATCAGTGGATATAACTGCTGAATGATGGGTGATGATTAGTGATTTCACCATAGTGAACCATTATTTACTTAAAGTCTTAAACATATGGAATCTCATTGATACATGATGATTGTGGGGTTATACAATGAACTGGGAAATCCGTTCTCAACCAACCAGTATGACGACAGAAGGCTTTGAACACGGCTCAATGAAACATATTGGCGCCAAACCCTACGTTCGTCCGCCGCAAATACTTGTCACCCGAGGATGAACGAAAACACAGGCTATATGCATCTATATGCAGCTATATTGGCTCTTATGCTTTCAGGATTTATGGTTTCAGAGTTTCAGGTTTGAGCATGACAAAGGATATACGGGATCGGTTGTGGACAAAAGTAGGGTTGCAGCGAGATACATTGTCATGTAATGTGTACCAAGCAACAATGATGTGGCTATGTGATTTTGCCGTCGATTGAGCAACGATATTATTAATTATATAATATTATATAATATTATATAGCCAATATGTATAAAATTGTTCATAGAATGTATATGAACAACAGACCCCAAAACCTTGGTAATTAAACCCGCTGATAAACATGTTTTCAATGTTGGAACACGCATCTCGAAATGGGTTCATTGTGACAATTACCATTTAACCGTTGAAGAATAACCATTCTTTGGCCAACTTGGTAGTTGGTAATCATTAATAGCCCATTTAGTCAGTCATTTGACCCACCGGTTCCAGTCCATATTCTCCAATGATCCCCATCCCCGAGGCAGTAGCATAACCATTACTATATTTACCCATTATTCACCACAATTGATCATATATCAACCATGTTAACCATGTTAACCATGTTAACCATGTTAACCATGTTAACCATATCAACATGGTTTTCACATAGTATCCAATGATATCCAATGGTTATAGTCAATATATCTCAATATGTCAATGGTATAGTTAAACCATAGTTGACATATTGACTATAACCATTGACTATATGGTATAACTATCCAATAGTTATAACTACAACCATATATCCATAGTATCCAATGATATCCCCTTAAATTCTGACCGTTCCAAGGTATGGGCCTCGTGGCCGGCGCCGTGGACATGGGCGCCGCCGTGGGCACTGCCGCCATGGCGGCCATGGGCACCGCCGTGTCGGCTCCCGCGCTGATGGCGGCGGCGGTGACGCTGGCGGGCGCGGGCACCGTGGTGGCCGGGGCAGGCGGGATTGGTGCCCGGGGTCATGGTGGTCAAGTCGACTTGGGGCACAGAAAGAGTACCCTCTGGTTATGTCAAAATAGCTATTGAAAATGACCATTGAAATAGTGAGTTTTCCCATTAAAAATGGTGGATCTTTCCATATAGTTATGTAAACGTTTACCAGAGGGTACCCCAATAATTAGATGGTGACTCCGAAACATATACTAGTTACATCTAGTTACGAATTCATCTGCGTTTTTTCTGTGGGGCTGAAATTTTGACCCGTGCCCATATGTGAGAAGGCATTTTTAGGTGGTGTAAAGAATTATTTGATGAAAATCACCAAACAGATGTTGAGAACCCATAGGCCCATAGCCAACGGCTGTCGAGCTGTGGTGCCATGTGTCCAGGCATGCTGGCCTCTGAGTTCGGAATGAACGATTCTGAGCCGAAGAAAGTTGAATTGTGAGCTGATTTGGCACTTTTGGCCATGGAGGAATGCACTCACCTGCTGAAAGTTGGTTTCTTTTTGCATAGTTGAAGGCATTTGGCCATGCCATGTGAGTTTTTGTTGCCCTGGATCAATGATACAGCATAGGACACATCATTGCACTGGCAGTGTAACTTGAAATGTATATTATATATAAACGGCGTTAGCAATTTCGTGTTTTGTTTGTTTCCATAGATGTGTCATCAAAATTATTTGAGACCGTAGTCCAGAAGTGTGAAAGAATGCAGTTTTGTTCCAGAAGATTCAAACAGCCAACTATGTAGCAAAGCTATACAGTACACAATGGCATTGAAGACAGCAAAACCCCTCTAACACTTTCGGGCGGATGTCTAAACCATATTAGTTCAGTGATGTTATATAATTAAGTGAATTTGTTGAAAGCAGTGTTTCCTATTGTTTCCTTGCAAGAGTTTGCTACTTTCACTAGTTGTGAATGATAACGATTGCCTTCGATTAGTTTATATGTTTGTATCAGTTGCAAGCCTCTCAAGTCGAAAGGATGAAGGGAATGTGCTGCATCTTCAGCATGCAATGTCTCAAGAGACCAGTATTTGGAAAGGGATGCTGGAAAATGATTTCTGTATGCACTTTGCTTACCATTCATGGGCTCTTTTGTTTGTTTCAGAGACCATAGCGTGTCGAACTCCTTCAAACTCCACCCATGGCCACGGTAGGGCCTTGTAGCTAGATAGTCGCAATGCTGTGACTGTGCGGGGCAGTCTTAGGTTCGATCTGCGATTGCTGCACAGAGTGCTCATGATGATAACTTGGCTCTGCGTAGAGAACATTAGAGAACCATGGTGTTTAAGCTGCACCTTAGCCAAACGGCCTACTGGGTGACATGATCAAAAGCTAGGACTCAGAACACCGCGCAACAATCGCTGCAGATAGTGTTTGATGCCATGATGTGGGACATCATGAAGGATCGCAAGCATCAACGTGCTTCACGACAGCCCAACGTGAGCAATTGTCGATGTGACTAGCTTCTTGAATACGTTCGCAGTTTATTCTCATTCTGAGATGTGAATGGCCCTTGCTCAAGTCAACCCAGAATAAGAATGGCTAAGAAGGTAGCAACGTGCTTGTGAACACAGGAGCTCAACCTAACTGATGCATATTGATGTCATGTGTGCAAAGGTAAGAGCTATTTTTCCACGATAGTCATGCTTCAACGAAAAATAACTTATCCCAGCCAGTATAAGAATTCCCGAAAATGGTGGGATGACCATAGCCCGTATACGATGTTCTGACCATGGCACATTTGGGTATGAGGTAAAGTTGGGTGATAAACAAGTTGAATTGTTCAATGGTTGAACCATAAAAAATACCAGTTCATTTGCGGTTTCCATGGCCAAAAAAAATCAACAGATAGAGCAAACCAAAAGCCTACTCTATCCTACTCTAACATAGTGTGAAATACTCATAATCATATGTAATCATATAGCTTTTATTTAGAGTGTTTCGGACTTGCCACAATATCCCATAATAATTATACGACATGACCCACGTTTGTGGCTCGTTGGGCCTGGAACTTTATACCAAAACAACGTCGTCGATGCTTGCACTCTGCTGTGCTGCTTAAGGCATCACTGCAGCCAAATTCCTCCGCGGGCGCTGATGGAACAGAAACTGCCATTGATATCTAGTAGAGGTAGATGTGTCAGTGGTCATTGAGATAATAATATATAGACAAAGTTTCCATTTTCTGTGGTTATGTTGAATCAGAGTGGACCTCACATAATCTCACCACTTATGATGGATCAACATCAACATGAGGAACTATCAGACATTATGATACTTTTCCAGAATGACAGCGCCAAGCTCCGGTGCAAATTTCGTCGAACCTGGCAAACCATGCCAACAGCTTTCCTGAAAGCACTGGTTTTCCGGAATGATTTGTCACATTCTTCTTTTCCGGGATGAGATGCTGCCAGTTACGCAATATCATACATAGCATTTATCAGCCGCTCATCCTTGGCTTGTTTGGTAGTAGGCCAAAGGTTTGCTCCAACCAAGAAAAACAACATACCTTGAAGATGGGAATTATGATTATTATGTGTGGCGATATCGTATTAATTAATATGTCATAAATGATTTGGTTAATCCCGCTATTGACAAAAAAGGACCACTGGTGAATCATAATTTTCCGCATCACTCACTCACATTGCATTTTTTGGGGGATACCCAATTTTGACACACCAAGAGAAAACAAATATATAATATCAACCAGAGACTGACTTCGTGGGCTGTCCAAGGTTGCCTTTGTTTCTTTTGGAGATCCCCCCCAGCCTGTAACAGTCACCACCTGCACTGTCACTGTCTCAATGCTTGGCATTTACGAAGCTTCACTGGTCAGTGTTGCATCATGGGCGAATACGCGCAAAGGATAATGATAGTAATGATTCAGTAATGATAACGATAGTATTGACAATTGACTGATGACTCTCTACAACAATAATGGTGAAATAGAACACATATGAAAATAATTTCAATACTGTCAAAACCTTAATCCCTTGCTAGTGGCTTTATGGACTCTCAGATGTTGGAGTTGACCTGGCAGCAGCTCATTGCGAGATGCACATTTTGCATGAAAAGGCCTAGCAGCTTCTTTGCAACCTCATCACCACAGCCGCCATGATCACCAACAACAGCATGATCTGTTCCATCACTACCACCACCACCACCATCATCATCATCATCATCATCACGATGTAAGACGGCAATACTTGTCATGTTCCGATTACTCATTCTCGATGTATCCTTGTTTGTTGGATTGTGATGGATTGTGTGTTTGTAATCGGAACATGAATTGTAATCCAACAAAGGAACATCATAATTGGATTACTCATTCCATGTATCATTGTTTGTTTGTTGGATTTTTCTTGTGATGTCCCTGCTTTTGCAAGCCATCCATGGATCTGAGGTCAGGAAGAAGAGCTGCAAGAGCTACGACGACAAGACGCGGAAGATCAGGCGCGGGAGGCGATCTCCACTGCCATGGTTAAAGATTACAGCAAGGTTTAATGGTCATGTTATTGTGATTTAACGGTTTTTTTGTTTGTGGTTTAATGGTGACGCAAGATTTTCATACCCATGATATCATGACATTTGGATTCCCATGGAATGGGAAGGATGACCATACATTCGTCCCATCTGTTTACCCATATGTTGGGGATGTTTGAGTTATTTAACCATATTTAACCATCACAAATCAGGGTTTAATCAATATGGTTCAATTAAAAAACCTGACTTCACGAACAAAGCCTGGAAATAATAAGGAACAAACACAGGGATTTGACAACCATCAAACATGGAGATTTTAAAGGGATGTCAACAATTAAAACTGGATGTTTGCCATCAAGAATTTGGGTTCAACCAGTCAGGAAACCATAGTAGGTGAAAGCGGTGAAAGCTGAAAGCCTGTCATTTTAAGATATTTTAAGTTATTTTCCCTTTGAGGGATTTGTTTGAGTCTGGGAACAAATGATATTGGTGAAGGGAGATTAAGTGGTGTTGTTTGGCCTGAATCACCCCAGATTTAGGGTCCAAAATTGTATTGTACTTCATGCCCATTTTCGGGCAATGGTACAACTTACCCATAAGACTATCTATATGTAGAGTTTATATATACATATAATATCACCCACAGACACCTTGTGTTGCCCAAGCCCAGAATAACGTAAATTGCAGCCGTAATATTATTATTGGTATAATTATATAAGTATATATATGTGTAATTATATATATATATACATTGGGTATGAACTGAAAGAAACATTAAAAAAAAAAAAACTCTATGGGGTATCATAGCTGGTGGGTCTCCCGGGTGGTGAAATCCCCATGGCATGGCATTGTCATGTTGTCGTGTCACCAAACGTTGAGATATGTGTTCACATGTTAAAAACAGATCATGTAAATTAAGCTGTTCAAACATGGATTGATGTAGACTGTTTTTTTTTGACATGAAAGTGAGTTGAATCTCATTTGGTGGCTGTGGTATCGATTTTCGGTCTCCTTAAGACGTGAGGCCAATCTTCAGAGGAAGCGTGCAGAAGAGGCCGGAGAAGACCTGGGACACGGCAATCAGAAGACCCATCGATGATCAAAGATGTTACCCTTTGGTAAACGTTTACATAACTATGGAAAGATCCACCATTTTTAATGGGAAAATCCAGAAAAACCTGGCCATGTTCAATAGCTATGTTAAATTAGCAGAGGGTAATTAATGGTTGGTCAAAGATCATAGAAGTTGAACTATCAAAGGTGAGCCATACTCTATATTCATACTCTATATTCATGCTAATTCACCATGAAACAAGGCTTGCTATTCGCTTTGGGCAATGAGTATGCTGGTTTTCATGCCATCAGTTCCCCAACAACACATAGGTCGGTCAGATGCCCTCAGCATCCCTTGGCAGGTAGAATGAGTGCTAGGGGGCTTTCATGGATGTTTATCTCGGCCTCAATGGTTGCTTAGACTCTAAGGACCAACCCAAACACTGTGTCATACTCAGGATATAGTCGATTCAGTTGCATATATTATAGATTTATATAAAAAAACTTTATGTGATGGATAAATCCACCTGTTTGAACGTCTCAATTATCATCACACCACTTCAGAGATGTCCCTACATTTCCGTTGTTTGTGTTCCCTACATCGGTCCATTGACTTAGATTTTGCTGATAAGAAGAGAGAGAGAGAGAGAGTGAGATTCCCATTGTTTGATATTGTTGAACCACATTTGTTTAAGTTGAACCCTGAGATAAATCCCAAGTTGGGGTGCAGTTCCAGTCACACTTGGATAGATAAGCATATACTTATAGGATGTTATAGGGATTATATCCCAACTTCTGGGGGTTGTACTACGGTAGTTCTACTATATGAACCGCGGAAAGGATTTGGTACATCATGCAATCAACTGGGTGTTCCAACCTCGCAACCTAAGTATGGTGTCTTTGACAAACCGAGCTACGCCCCAGGACTAATTGTTCTTCATATCAACCAATAAAAGACGAGCATATCATATAACTATCCCATAGTATCCTATGTTTTTGTTTCCATAGGTATCCGTCCCTAATATATAACATATTATAACATGATATAACTATAACTATCCCATATTAATCCATCTAACTATCCCAATCTGCCATATTATCCCATATACCTAGCCAACTAGCCCATAATATCCCATATAATTCCCATATAGCATATGGGTAAACTGGAAAAAGGATGGTTAAATATGGTTAAATATGGTTAATAATGGTTAATAACGGTTGATATAAATCATTTTCCCATCATTTTCCCTGAAACCCCCGCAGACTCCACGCAGACGTCCACGCCTTGGCCGCTCCAGGCCTTGGCCCTTGGAGCCTTGCAGGCGAAGACGGCCGCGGAGCTGCGCGCCTTGGAGGTGGATGGGACGGCAGCAAAACCGTGGGAAAATGTGGGAAAGTGATGGAAAAATAGGGGGGGTATGGCAAACTGATTTGCAAAATCCTGGAAAGGATATAAAAGATGGGGAGTTCACTAGCCAAAGAAGGACGGAGATGGCATAAAATGATTCCGAAACAAATGATCGGATTTTGTTTGGGATTGAACGGATTGAACATATGGGATGTCATTGAAAATGATTGGAATAAAAATATGGGATTTATTCACGGGAAATTGTTTTTACTGAAGAATGAACTGAAATTTGTTTGGTTTGCGCACTGCCAAGTGAAAACAAACATCTCTTTTTAGGGGTATGTATATGGATGTATTCTTGAGAACATATATATATATATATTATATATATATATATGGATATATATATATATGTATATATATATTATATATTGTAAATTATATATATATGGTAAATATATATATATATATTTCCAATGGGGGTCAGAGTGGGATACAATTTTCTGCCAGGTCTGCAGCTCTCATCTCCATCGCCTGGGCCGAGAGATGACGCAGGAAGCCGCGTCGCTCGGCCTTCCTCACACGGGGGATGGCCCAAAGATGTGGGGAGAATCATTCCAATGGTGTGCATTCATGTTGCTTATCTTTCAGTACTTGGTAGAATATGTATCTACTTACATATACATAAATATATATATATATATGTATATGCTTAAAGATATGACCTAATGATTATGTATATGAAAGGGAAACAAGCGTCAATAATTTACACTTGATGGTACATATAGCCAACACGTATTCATCTTGTTGTTTGGGAATTGGTGTAGTCTTGATGAGTGGTTTCGATTCAGCAAGTTCAGCTGAAAACTACTGCTTAGCCTGGCAACGTTGGATGATGTTGGATGATTTTGATCTCATTTTCACTGGAAAACCTCTGTGTCTTAGGTCCATTTGGAAGAAAAACAGGTTCACCAGGCTGGAATGACAGCTTCTGGGGATCCAACTGGCTTCGGCTATGCCAATGATTACTTCTTGGATAGATCAATCCATTGATTTTGAAGTATTTTTTGGCTGTTTCCACATCCCCAGATTTTTTGTTGGGGAGTAGTTCATCCAGCTGGGACTCAGTTTCAGCCAAGGTCTTTGCAACTCGAACGTCAACGCGAGTCTCCTGGCGTTTGACGTTGTTTCCCGCTGGGCAGGGTATGGACGACAGAGATGGGTATAAGAATAAAAACCACAACTCAAAGCAAATAAGACCAAGACACATCAAGAATACTTGCCAAATTTGACATTAGACATTGCTTGATTGAGAAATTGGGCTTTCAACATGGGTTCCTAGTTGAAGAACCATGATTCCATGATCGGAATGATGGATCTGGATCGTCGAAGTCTGCGGGAACAGCCAGATCAAGGGAAACTAAGTCATTAAGTCCACTTGAGACTGTAGGGAAGTCGCCGATTGATCAGTGACAGCCCGTTTAACTATCAGAAAAACCGTGGTTTCCTATAGATGTTCTCTTAAGCCAAGGCAGTAACTCTTCAAAATCTTCAAAAAATGATCACAGTCTCACTACCTTCGTATATCATTGTTCACTTCACCAATCAATGTATTTTTAGGGTGTGGCAACCAAAAGTGATTATGATGCTGTACATATATATATAATTATATATATACATATGTATATAGATGTGCAATTAAATGTTGTGCCCATATTTCGATTGTGTGATCAGCACAATATACAATCATATGCAGATACAATGATGGACCGTTAGGTACTGGCTATCCATCCACAATGGTGGATTGTCAGGTTGTCATTGATTTCTGCGCTGCGTTCAGAGCTCCAGAAATCGGGCAAGGCGATGGGTTTATGGCTTTGTCATGGAGTTGTTTCGAGGGACTGGCCGGCCATTTGTTGATGGCATTATCTAACCATATTTAATCAACAAACATAGTACATTCGCACTAAGCAAGGAAACAAAGACATCATAGTAAAATTAATATGTCATGTATATTGGAAATTAACATATTGAATAATGGTTCGTGTTGCTGAAGAGCCACCAACCCTTGGGATTGAATCGTTGGACATGTTTTTTTTACATGATTTAACCATCGAGCATTTGTGATTGAAGCGATGTAACATGGTGTGTGTGTGTAATATATATATTATATGTATATATATATATATGTATAATGTGTATATGTATTTATATATAAGTCAAATTGAGATGTATTATGATTTAATCGCCAATTGTGATGATCCGGAATTATCAACCGCAGAACTCAAAAAACCGACCCTTGTGGTGATTGCCAAGCGACCCATGCCTGGTGAGGCGGCTTCAGGGCCAAGGCGGAATTTGATGTGTCTTTTAGGGAGTTTGCCATGTGTGTTTGCCATAAACCAAGCAGATTTTTGCCTTGATGATTGAGGCTGTACAAGCAGAGGATGGCTACATTTTACTCTGATTTAGTACTGATTATGCTTTCTTGACATCTTAGCGTTCGATGAGTTTCATGTTTCATCTCAGATTCTCGCTCGGGGATCAGAATGGATCAGATGCCGATGGACATCTAACTTCGGTCTCCAGCAATGGACAAAAATACTCTCAGATGAAACCCTGGTGGCAAGTCGTGGTTCTATTCATGACTTGCATGACGACTGGGTTAACAGATGGGTCCCATCTGTTGAGGGATAACCATGCTTGGACCATGCTGGGTTAGAATGGCCTGCGTATCTGCAGGCGTTCGACTTCTGCGCCGCAGCTTCGTTGGTAGGGTGACCTGGGGGCTCAGTGGTAAAGGAACACCATGGCCATCCTATGTCATCGCTGGCTTCGTGTGGCTTGCGAGAGGATTTTCGCAGGGCGAGAGGAGGTGTTCACAATAGATCACACTGATTCAAAGACTGTTTTTGCTGACTTAGTTTTTTCTGCTAAGCCAGCACCATTCTCCTTTATGTATCTTTATGTTCATTTGCGTCTGACTTCAAAGTTATCGCTCTCCATGCTCAATGGTTGAATTGCAAAAAAATGACCAACTTTGTGTTTCCAAAAACCGGTCCAAAATTGATGCTGGGTACCCTAATTTTAAAGCCATAGCGCTGATAGTGATGGCGAAAACCCAATGTTTGCAGGTTAAAGTCCCCAGGTTTCATTGATTTCTGCTTTGCCGTATCTGACTTTTGCCCTGCATCATCTTCAAGGCACGTCGATCCCGAAAGACCGGCTTTGGCCAGGAGTGGGCCGGTGTTGTGCATAGATGCATGCATGCATGCATACAGACATACAGACACACACACACACAGAGACATACATGCATGCATGCATACATACATAGATACATAGATACTAACATAGATAGATAGGATAGGATAGGATAGGATAGGATAGGATAGGATAGATACATAGATAGATAGATCGATAGATAGATAGATAGGTAGATAGATAGGTAGATAGATAGATAGATAGATGGAGTAGATGGATTAGATGGATTAGATAGATTAGATAGATAGATGGAGTAGATAGATTAGATAGATTAGATAGATTAGATAGACAGACAGACAGACAGACATACATATATACATGTACATACACAAATGTCTATAATTATTGTTCTTAATTATACAGCATCATATCCATATATCATAATGTGTTGATCACATCATTTGCTGAATGATCCCAGTTGGAGCGGCACCTTGTCCAAGAAGGCACCCAAGAAGGCCGACTGGGCGGCGAGCACCAGCCTTTAGGAACTTTAGGGCTGGTGTTTGGAAACACCGAATCTGTTTTGGATGCGAAAAATACTGGTTACTACTAGAAGTGAAGTGGTTTATAGTGGTTCATAATGGAAAAAAGGAAAGATTCAAAAGTAGTGGGTGGTTTCAAGCATTCTTGATATTCTTGATGTTCAAGCCTATTTTTGGGGACGATGATTCCAATTGACGAACATATATTTCAGGGCGGCTGAAGCCACCAACTAGATAGTTCCTTGTTTATCTAAAGTTGTATCTATCTACCTATCGCTCCATCTGACTTTATATACCCACCCATGTGAATCAGAAATTGTGCATTATTATATCCGGAATGATCTTCTCTGACGTGATCTGTTGGAATTGTCTATGGAAATCGATAGACTGACTGTATACTGTACAGTTGAATTATATATGGAGGTTTCCTAAAATAGGTGTACCCCCAAATCATCCATGTTAATGGGAATTTCCATTATAAACCAAGCATTTTTGGATACCCCCATTTATGGAAACCCCCGTATACGCCTGTATTCAATCTGCGTGTTTCCAGATTTTTTTCTGGGGGTTTAAAGCAACCACTATCCCATTTGGAAACCTGTCCTGGAGGTTTCCGTCCGCATTCAGAGGCCAGCAAGGGTACAAGATGGGGGCTCTTAGATAGGTAACTTGGTTTGTGCATAGCTTAAGTGGGTTCTATAATAATACAGAGGACCTACAGGGGTGTGAGGGGTTATTAATCTAGCGTTGCCATTGCAGTTGAATGGGTATATAAAAAACAACGCGTGCCTGTGTCCTTCCTGCAAGCTTTTTGGGATTGATGTGGGTTCACCCACCGAAATAGCAGATGCCCCTCTCGTAATCGAAGTTGGCTATGGCGGCTATGGGTCATTACCATGTTCCAAGTACATTGATATGTGGGTACAGTGGGTACTCAGTGACCACTCAGCGCGAAGAGGCTTGATGTTCCAGACTTGGCCTCAGAAGACATGCTTTGCCACGGGTTTTGCCTTGAGTCATCTGCTATGGATAAGTCGAATCTTTTCGAGGGCCGGGATGTGTCTGAAAATATGGGATTTTAACCATCGAAAATGGATGTTAAAAAAAGCATGTTTCGATATTTGGATGTGTCTGAAAATGTGGCGTACCAGTATCCCAAAACGGCAATTGCCATAAGGAAAATGAGGATGAATGCTTGAAATTTGCAAAATGTTATTTTCAGATACAGTAAATCCAACTTTGGATACATAAGAGAAGGGGATGGTCAACACTATATCAATACGACTAACTCTGGATTTGCTAGCTTTGACCATTGACATGGAACATTCTATCCCGTTTTGGTAGTTACATCCAAATCCTCTGTTTCCTCCAAGCATTCTCCTAACTTGGGTTGCCACTGGAACTGGAACTGTGATCTACCGAGGCCCTAAGACACCTGTGAAGTGCTGAGTCACGCTGTGAGCTTGGTACAAGTGGGGTTGTAACCCCAAATTCAGCAGCCTTTGACGCAGAATGTTGTCATATGCGGTCATGTTTTTTCTTAATTTTCAATAAGGTCATTCGTTACGGTTATGTTTTCAAGACTGTTTGCTCAAGTTTGCTGGTGATCGATTGATCGATGGTCGAAGAGTGCATTGTACATGAACTGTCAAGGCAAAGTTGCACAATTAATTTTGTACAGCATAGCATCCAGATGCTTCAGTCTGAGTTGTAGCTTATGGCAGTCTGAGCTGGTTGAAGTCTGATGGACTATCTGATGGATTTCAAAGATCTGGCTGCGTTGAATTCGTGAGTTTTTTCAAGGTTTAGAGCGGCTCCTGGTCATGTGTATGGGGTTGGCTAGACACAACAGCTACTGGCGCTGCTGAAACTCGCGCTCTGCGCAGTGTTCGCTGCGTTTGCTAGAACTGATTGTGGGGATGCGGAGAAAACCATACCCCTTGTAGGATCCGATGGCCCTCGAGACTAATGACATCTAATGACAATTAATGCAGGGATTCAAGCACCAAGTTGGAAGCATTAAAGCCAGCTTGCTTCTAGCTTCACTCAAAAGGACTAGTTTGTGTTGCCATTTCCTGTGCACGATTAGCCATCTAGGAAACAAACTGTGTAACATGATGATTGAGAAAGTATTACATGAGATACTTACCAGTAACAGCCATCGTGGATATCCTACTGGCATCTACTGGCTATAATTCGCATGTCAATACAAAGCAAAACCAACCAATTTCAACATTGCGCGCTTGTTGTATGAATGTCGCATGAATGTTGCATGAGACTATGGAATTCATCTCTCAAGTTTGATCGGTTCGATGTTGGATATGATGAGAAATGAGTGAGATATATATATATATGCATATATATAATATTTACTTGCGTAGTAAATCCATCCTTTTCGCATCACGATCCCAAGTCATCACCAGTTTTTGGATGGCTTGAAACGAACCTCGGGAGGACGGCGTGCTGGTCATCATTGATTGGGGGTCCCTTGGATCTGTGCTTGGTACATGTACGTGGAGTTATAAGTCGGTTATCCTTGGCCCTTGGTGTCATCAAACATGGAACGAAATGGACGGCTCAATGGGAAAATATGAGAAAAAAGTAATCGATATGTATATAAATAAATATATAATTATATATACTTACATATATATATATATATCATATATCCATAGTCCATAGATGAAGGTTTCCAATGGGAAAATCCTCCACAATGAAGGTGTTCATGGGAAAATCATCGAATTTTGGCTGGAGGAGTCCCAGCAAGCCATGTTTGATTGCCGAAGGGCTACCAGTCGCGGTTCCAAGGGTTGGATGACGTACGGTCACTCCTAAACAACCTGTCGTTTGAAGGTTTGTGGCCTGGATGATCCTGGATGTTGGTATACAAGTAGACCGGTAATCGACACATTGACATTTGAATATGTTTGATTTGATGAGACGAATTCATTTTAGTGTCCTATAGTACTATAGCCGCTATAGCCTGTAGTTTCTCCTCGAATTCACCCCACCAATAAGCCAAACATTGTGAAATTGTTAGTCAGAGCAGTCTTCTAGCTTTCAACATGTTTCAACTTATATACCCTCTGGTAAACGTTTACATAGCTATGGAAAATCACCATGTTTCATGGGTAAATCCACTATTTCTATGGCCATTTTCAATAGCTATGTTAAATTACCAGAGGGTAATAATTTGACATATTTTGGAGATACCAGACGGTCGATCCAGAATGCTGTGGGCAACAACACCAACCGGCCACTGCTAGGTCTAGTTTCTGGTGGTCAAATGTTAGAGATCCTCCACCAACCGACTGATTACGATTTGTTCAATGATTGATGGTTCTTGGTATATTGATTATCTAATTTGTTTGCTTGCATTCAATCCAATTTCATCCTGATATTTGGGCGGGTGGCTCAACCCAGAGGATCGGTAATATTTGTGGAAAATCGTCCACAAGCATCCACATTATGTGTCCATTGTATTTGCAACTTGGTATACCGTATTTTCATAGGGGTAAACCGCAACAATAGGGGAATTCCCAAGCCATCACCATTTTGATGGGCCCTATGTTAACCATCCCTAAATGTATAGGTTTATGGCAGCCAGGGCTTCAAAAACATTACATCATCTCCATCGGCCCTGAATCCCAGGCTTGTGGCCGACATCAGCGAAGCTCTGCGGCAGCAAATTCTGCGATACGCCGGGAGACTCTGCGATACGCCATTGAAAGCTGGTGGAAATATGGGGGTTTCCATGGGTTTCCATAAATGGGGGTACCCCAATAGCTGCTATAGCTGGATTGTTTATAATGGACAATCCGCGGACAATCCTATTAAAATGGATGATTTGGGGGTACCCCCAGTGAAACCTTCATATGGTGAAATTGAGCCTCTTGATTTAGATGATATTAAGCTTATACAAGCTTATAACATCAATTCCAAATGGATCGGCTCCAATATTCACCTGTCAGTGTGATGCTAGATACCCCTCTCTTGATTGCTTAAGACATGGGTATGAGTCAAAATTAGGTACCCCAATACTAGATGGTTATTACTAACTATAGACTAAGATCTGTGGTCCCCAGGTCTTTAATTTTGACCCATCACCACATCTTGGTTACAGTCCTATGAATGTTGAATGGCACCACTCCATGGCTCACCGCTCCGCCTCAGATTGCCCATATTTTGGCCAATGACTACAGCGCCATCCCGGCAGACCTGGTCATGGACTCAGTTTCGAACATGTCCTGCGACCGCCACAGCCACAGCATCGGTGTGGCTTTAGCGGAGATACTGACATCGAATATCAGGAAACACTACCCAAGCATGGTCATATAGGTGAATAATACCCATTCGTAAAGACATACATATACTGTATATATTATATATATACACACTCACAAAGTATTATATATTGACGTCATTTATGTGCACATATCCGAACTTATTTATGTCTATACATATTATATAAATATATATATATATATGTATATATATATATGTATACATGTATGTAATCCACATCTTAGTTATAAATTTTGAACTAATGATTAGCTATAGCAACATGGTGATGAATATGAACGAAGTTAAAGGCTATATACATAGAACTACTGACATTATATTGATATTACAAGACTATAACACTCATAACCACATATTTGCATTTGTATATTCGCTACTGACAATAATCCATCTCAATAGCATCTATTTACAGCATATACATGGTGTTCCACAACCAACAACATCCAACAACCACATAAAACATGGTAATATACACAAATATTAACTATCGACATGCACATCATGTTTTAAATGAATACACAGATTCATGTCAATTACAGACTTTGTTATATACAATATATATATATATATATGTGTTATATGTAGATGACCGTCGCTATAAAAATCTGCGAATATCAATAGCTGGAACCCGTTGTGTTTCAGGTCGCGATGGGCTTCATCGCGCCCCGTGGCATGATAGCCATGGAGGAGGAGAAGGTGGCCAGGTCCATCAGGTCAGATCCGTAAAGGTGAAGAAAGAGGAGGAAAAGCCGGGAAAGCCATGGGAAAACTATGGGAAAACTATGGAAAAGGATGGGAAAACTCATCTTGGGAAAAGATGGTGGAGGAAGTTGAAGCAATAAGAGATTGTGTGATTTGATGTGATGTGGTGTGATGTGGTATGTTATAAAGCCATGGAAAACAAAGAGGTTTCAAGAATCAAGACGTATTTCTACATGCCTTTGGCCACTCCGATGAAAGTAAATATACCTAGGCGATCTATTGCTTGGCTTCATTCTTCTTTGATGTGCTCACCCATGGCACCATTTCCATGTCAACATCAGCAACTCTCCTGCAAGGGTGCCATGATGTGCCATGGGTCAATACCAGTAACTGGGAGTTTAGTGTCGAATCGGGGCAACTCTCATCCAAAGTTACATAGACCGACCTGTATTTTTCGAAACCATGTTTTGGATTTTTTTTGGGAAAACCCCCACGCTAAGAAACACCTATCTGGGTTTGTCCGGTGCAAAATCCACCGGGAAATCCATCCATTTTCACCACATCTTCAGACACAAACATCCCATGATGCTCCGCTCGCTTGTAACTGGGATAATCCTCCAACAGTGATCCATGCATGCATGCATACATACATACCTACATACCTACATACATATACATACATATACATACTGTACATATACATACATATACATACATATACATACATATTCATACACATACATACACATACATACACATACATACAGATACATACACATACATACATATACATACATATACATACTTACTTTTACATACAAATACATACATACATACATACATACATACATACATATACATACATATATATATACATACACGTATACATACACTTATACATACATATATATATATATACATACATACTTACATATATACATATATTTGTGATATGTATATATATAATTTGTATATATATAATATTTAATATGTGTATATATAGTATGTATATATATAATATGTATATATAATATGTATATATATATAATATGTATATATGTATATAATATGTATATATATATAATATGTATATATAATTTTATATACAATATGTATATATATATATACACTGAAAAGTGATAACAACCTCACTGCGACCTCACTGGAATGACGGGTAGCAGCGACACCTATCCCAATATAACATTATTTGAGGTTAGTGAATTATTACAATTTGTCAAGATGTACATAAACCCCAACAACAACCAGATCACTCCAATTGATCATTATGAACTAGTGGTTGTAAGAGAGTAATGGCGACTGTGCGTGTGATTGTTCAGAATGCACCTATGCTTAACTACCAAGAATCATATGGGGGATAGGTCAAAACTGGTCATAACCTCTTCATACTTTTTGGGGATTTTTCCAGTAGTCAAATACGATGATTATATGTATTTGGGAACATTCAGAAAAATGATATTGGCACCATATTGCGTATATACCATTTTCTATTAGTGAACCATTTTCCAACCCCGTTCATATTATATAGACACCCCCATTCTTTGGTAATCTGTGGCTACATCCCCTATTGAACCATGCTGTCTTGCGGGTGTTCAATATGAACGGGGGATGGAATGATTTGATTGGTCATGATTTATCCCCATATCATCCCATGTTATATATATATATATATTATAATATATATATATATTATATTATAATATCTATGTATGTCCTTGTATAGTTGATTTCCCCATCTTATCCCCATATTATCCAACTGTTATTGTACATGAATAGCAAACTCTCATTGAATATTATATAATTATGTATATCCCATTTAATCCAATCAACACCCATTTTACCAGCATTTCTGTTGGTTAAGCCACCGTCGTCTCCCTCACCCCTCCACGCCTCTCCAGTGACGTCTTTCAGAGCCTGGCGGCGGGTGCGGGAGCCTGGGGGCTGATGGGCTGCTGGGCCTGGGACCTCACGGATAGGAGAGCTGTTCTGCTGCTACTTGTCCTCGTTTTTTTGACGTTAGGGAAAGGCTAAATGGCATAGATAGGTTATAATTACTGTTATACTTTAGGTAAAAAAACACTACAATATTTAAAATAGTTTAAAAGATTAGAAATGGGGATATCAACAGGGCATTGGTAGAATTGTATGATTATTGAAGATATAGTGGGGATAAAACTAGAGATAAAAACAGGGAGACAATGGGACATACAGCCAACTATCATTGGGAAAAAATAATATCTAACAGGGTGTTGGTAAATGTTCACATCAACCAGCTATTGGGGAAAAAACAAATATATATATAATAATAATAATAATATAATCTCAAAATATGTGTTCAATTTACGCGCCCCTGCTCAAACATACCAGATGATACATTACATCCCATCCCACGTAATGTATCATCCCACGTTCATATCAAACACCCACAGTCTACAGTCCCAAACCTCACTTAACCATGGTTTATGGGGTGGGTTGATATTAAGGGAAGGGATTATGTGTTGTATATATTAATCAATAGCATCTAGATCATCAAGACAACATTGGGACAACAAGCGCAAATCGACAAAAAAAAAACATATGGGACAGGAATTATTAACGAAATAATAGAAAACCAAGAAACCTTGCGGCATGATGTCCTTCCGAGGCGGCACGGCTCAGCAACGCATTGCAGACGCCCGCCACTCAGGAGTGGATTCTTTGGTGCGATTTACTGTTCACTAAAAAGTGCAGGGACCATGTTTTCCGAAGGAGAAATGAATGTGGGTGAAATTAAGTCTGCTGTCCTATCAAATTTAGACATGTTTAGGCATTATTAGCCATCCAGTTGCAGGGGGAGGGGCATAATCATCCGTGAGATTAACAGAAACACTGGCAAGACCACTCATTTGCCCTGAACAGCTGAGCTTACAACATATCTTTTCTCGTGCTGTAGCTAGTTTCACTGGTGGTCCACTTTCATTGACACTTGCCATTTTACAATTTATGGGACAACATCCAGCTCGCTTCTAGCTACTCCTACATTTTTGTCAAGGCATTTTTTCCAGGCCGTGTTCCTCAAGTGGACACATGGACGTGGAAATGTTACCAAAGGAACAATGTTTAACTGGTCTGGTTGGTGGTTTCAAACATTTTTCATTTTCCATAATATATGGGATAATCCTTTCCATTGACTATATAATATTTTTCAGAGGGGTTCAAACCACCAACCAGTGGTAAATCAAAGTACATCATGGGAAATCATCACAAATTCTGGGATGGTGGGACCACGGGGCCATGATGCAATCAGGTGCTGCCTGCGCTGGGGAAGATCAAGCAGCAATACGGGACCGGGCTCTCAGCTGGATACCTCCAAAGAGAAAAACATCAGCAAAGGTCACTATAAATTAGTGGAAAACCATGGAACACTCATCAATTTCATGGCCTTGAAATGCCTTGAATATCTTCAAGTCAGGTTTGAAACTTACATGGATTGATTATGGTGGGGTTGGCTAGTCACGTCCTTGGTCATAACAACTTCCGACTACGTTGTTGATGTTACCTTACTAACTTGTTTGACAACCTGAAGACAGCCAATGATTTTGGATCATTTTGGGCAAAAGCCAAAACGGCCACCATTTTCGGTCATTAGGCCATAAACTATATATATGGGATAATATGGGATAATATGGTGTGTATATAATATATATATATATAATTATATATATATATGATATAAACGTTGATTTGAGGCATAACCAACAAAAAAACGGAGGAGTAGCTTCAATCAAGACCTTACCGCAAGCCGCGGTGAAACATCGATCAAAAACCAGGCGTGGCTTTGTGAATGGGGACCAGAGTTTTTTTGCATATCTACGCATATCTATATACATAGCTACGAATTTACACATAGGCCAACATGATGTTGCTGAAGAAATCTAGTTGCCCCACGATCAGGTCTCAATTTCAAAAATGCCAACACTACTGCGCACCTCTTGAACTTATCATGGAACCTGCAACATGGGGTCTCCAAGATGATTTGCTATTGGATTCCATGTTCGCTTTAGGGTGTGGATCATACATTGTCATACATCGATGCATATCAATGCCACAATGACATCCTTTTTTGTTGACATCAAGCCTTTATCTTATTACTTATTGGTATCCTATCCTATACTCTTCCATCAAAAAAGGGGCCAAACATAAATTGGTAGTTTCAACATGTTTCAACGTCAGCTCTCGAAAAATGAACATCAGGAGCATCGGGCAGATTCCTGCAGCTTTTGTCTACATCCTGCGTTGTTTCAGCATTCTGGAGGTGAAGCCCTCCCAGGGATCCCCAGGGGACCCCAGGGGTGTCATGATGCCATGGGGCAGCCTTTTTAAACCCGGGTGATTCAGCAATTTTTGGAAAAAGATTTTGGGGAGAGTGGGTAGTCATTCAGTTTTCCTAGTGGCTGAGATAGCACAAAAAAGATCAAAAAAGCATTTTACAATGCCCATCAGGCTCGGTTTCGTTTATGCTGATATATCTATGAACAAGGTCCCGTTTGTAGTTGAATTTGAGTTGAACAGTTCAGAGATGACATTGTCATTCCGGTTCTTGGGTTGTTTCGCCTCTGATGGCGATGTACCTTGGGCAATAATAGTCTTGGAGCAGTGGATGGCATTGAATTCAAAGACCTTGGATGGAAAACTAAATACCAGATACACTTCAAGCACATGGAAACCCGCAAAATCAGCAACTGAGCCGTGGACTGACTTGAAAAGACAAATCAATGACGCGCCATTATAACTGCACCTGGCTTCAAAAATCTCAGTCATGAGAACATGGCACAACTGACATCGCTTGTTTTGATCCTTTGTGCTAGATCCATTGGATTGAAATAGAGTATCATCCGAGCGTTTTGAATTGCAAGCTCCGGATGGTCACCAGTCAGGTCATGATGATTGTGATGGTGGTGATGATGATGATGATGATGAGGATGAGACAATAGCAATGTGCCATAAAACAGGAAAGTCCATAGTTTAATAAACCATCCAGCTATTGGGGTAGCCCCATTTATGGAAACCCCCTTTTCTGTGGCAGGGGCATGGCCTGCGGTTGGATCGCAACTATCGGATCGTGGAGGACTGCTATCCGCCAGGACCCTGGAAGAGCTGCTGGTGTTTGGTGCTGTGGATCAAACCTTACTTGCATATGTCTGTAAATGGATGTAAATGGGGCATATAATATTCATAAAAGTATATATATATAACTATTAAAAACAAAAATAACAATAAATGAATAAATGAATATAGATGATATACATAGTGTGTTTTTCTCACAAGTCCAAATAAGAAGTGAGAAACTTAGTGCAAAAGCAATGTGTATAGGCCGTATAGGTTAAGAATTTGTGAATGAATGCATCATGCATGGCATCAGTGAGTAGCTGGAGTAGATCGGATCTTACAAAGTTTGCAATTTCCCTTGGACGTTACTGCAAGCAGACCGAATGCAACACATCCATCGCTGACGGTGGTGCTTATGGTCCCAAGGGAAAATCCACCATTTGGTGAATCTACATGGAATATTTCCCCACCTGCCAGGTGAGGGTCTCTAGATTTTATCAAAGCTGCATGCCGCCCACCTTCCTCCGCCTCCTCTCCACCTCCCGCATCGGACTCCGCCCTCAACCAGATCTCAGTGGGCACTGCGGGACCTCAATTGCAAGTGCAAGATGTCACATAGAATGTCAAATAGGATTTTAGATATTTTTAGATGGAATGTCAGAAGAGATGTCAAATAGAATGCCTGGTAGGATGTCAGATAGAATGCCAGAAAGAATGTCAGAATAGATGCCAGGAAGTACGTCAGATAGAATGTCAGGTAGATATAGGTAGAATGTCAGCATATTTATAATGTTATATGTACTTATACTACTGTATATATAATATTATGATTATATGTCCCATATATACTTCCAGACAATATGCCAGAAACAATGTTAGAACAATGTGTTAGGGTGGGGATCACTCGATTTCTGTGCAGGGCCTCTCAAGCAAATCCAACACTTGGAAACACATGTACATTTGCAGATCTACAAGTAAAATCAGCGCGTTTGATTGAGCAAGTAGTCATCTTCAAAGCGTGATTGTGATAGTCAGAATTTGTCATGGACCATTGCAGATTTGTCAACTCTTGACCTATTGTTCGTGCGTGGAAAAAAAAAACGTATGTAGAAAAGAACCCGTGAATGATTGGATTGGTTTTAAGGGAAAATCTACAGGAAACCATGGTTTTTACCATTAAATATGGGGGTGTCCTGTAAATTTTCCCCTAAACCAACCCAGTGAGTGAAACGAATCTTTGGGGCTGGGGAAATCCTCCGACTCCCAGGTACCTGGCCTCTTGGGCCATGAGGGCTAAGGCCGCGGATGCAGGGGACCCCAATGGACCCCAGATGCGATGAACCAACGGCAGTACGTTGACCCGGTGGACCCCTAGAATAATTCATGATTTCCTGTGTTTTGTTCAAAGATGCTATAAAATGCTATGGCAGTGTGTCAAGACCAATAGTACCCCTGTAGTTCACATCAAAATAGCTGGGATTTATGGATGTGAATAACCCCCTAAAAATGGTATTAATAGGTATTGATCCATACCCCTATAAATATATAATAAAGTTTGATAATGCCCCAGATGCCCAGTTCTATCGGCCAATTGATACCAAAGATTGCACCCCAAGACAAATTTCTGGCGATGCTTTGAGGCTGTGCTGATCCGCAGCGTCTTGTACGGCAAAAGCGCGGGAAGCAAAGTGGGGGTTCCAGACACCCAACAGGCGCGGGAGAGAAGCCCAGTTGCGACTCGTTGCGACTGAGAAAAAGTCTGGGATGAGATTGAAATGCTGATGATATTCCATTAATTTCCATTATATTCTGTGGGATGGCCAGTTGGTTTTCGGAAGATGTTGAATATCGATTTGGAGTTGGGAATATGTTGGCATACCTATGGACCATCACCTGGCAAGATCCTGGGGGTTGCAGGATATGTGATGTGTTTTGACGTTCCACCCCTACAAAAACCTACGTGCGGTTGCTTTAAGAGAATCATAGTTGACGTTTTTTTTGGACTGGATGATATACAGAAATTGATGGGGATGAAACGAAACCATAGAAATATGTTCGTTCAGTATTCCATGTTGGAAGTGTTGAGACGATCAGAGATTCTGCATTCCATAAAATCGGTCCCCATTTTCCGACCATATGAATCAGATGGACAACAGTATGATGTCAGTTGATTTTCTAGCTGAATTTATCAACAGATTCCATGCCACAATATGCAATAATATATGTCCGGAGAAAACCTGATAAGAGTATATTTCATAGTGTTCCCATGTGTTCCCTATTTTATATTAGCTAGCCCCCAAAAAAAAAACCGACGTTTTTGAGAGTTGGCAATGGGTGTCGTAGGGCTGCAAGGATTTGAAGGGATTGCAGACATGTATCATCCCAAACCACAAGATTTCAAAAAGGTAGGTCAAAAATGGTAGATCTTTGGGGGGGGGGGGTACCATATAGCTACCCCCCAAAAGATCCACCATTTTCAGCTTTTTGTTGATGTCAAAGAGGTAGTATTTGTTGGGAACCTTTTGCAAAAACAAAGTAGGTACACTATTACTTTCAAAAAGGATGAGCACATACTCAGGTCAGAAAGCACAACATTTCTTGAAGGAAGCAATCTTTTTTTTAAATTGCAGCGTTCCTTTCCATGCTTGAAAAAATGCAACTTCATTCATAAACTGCAATTTTCCTTCCAGACAAAGTATGACTTCGTTCAAGAAACAGTACCCCTACAAAGTATAGAGCATTCCTCTAAACATGCAGTGTTTTTTTTTTCTGAAGAAGTGCAGTCTTCCTTTCAAACTAATATATATTAAGCCTTCCTTCAATCATACAGTATTTCTTTCAAAAACACCAGATTCTAACATTTTGGATATGTCTATGTTTTTGATGCAACAGAGTAAGAACAATATATTGATCAGCATTTTTAATCTACAATGAATATAGCTTCATTATAGATTCCATATACTTTAATATTCCAGTGAATTGACCATAAACATATCTTTAAAAAACCTTTAGTAAACCTTTGGCATACCTTCAATATCCACTGTTAAATACCATCTTAAAAAATAAAAATAAAAATAAAACTTTAACATACCATTTAATATACCTGTAGCATTCCATTGGATAACGATGAAGCTACCTTTAATATATAATTTAATTGGCCTTGAAAATACCAATGCATAAAACTTCACTATACCATTTAATCTACCTTAGATATACCATTTTATTGGCCACGAAAACATCTTTAATACACCTTTAGGATACCTCTCTACCTCTAGCATACTTTATATGTTCCATTTAATTTGTCTTTAACAAACCTTTAATGTACCATCTATACTTAGCTTACCATTTAAGAACCGTTAATATTCCATTTGATATACCATTAATTAATACTATTAAAAATGTCGTTTACTACACCTTTAGTATACCTTGAAGGTAAACACCTTTCATATACCATTTAATTGACCTTGAAAATACCACTATGTCTCTAAAACACCTTTTACTTACCATTTAGTTTGCCTTTAATAAACCTTGAATATACAATCTATACTTAGTTTGCCATGTTAGAATCATTAATATTCCATTTGATATACCATTACTACATGATGTAATATGGTTTTAGCATACCATTTTATATACCATTAATCTACCTCTAATATACCATGTGTTTGACTTTGAAAATACCTTTAAAATACCTTTAGTATACAATCTAATCCACCTCTAATATACAATTTAACATACCTGTAGTATACCTGTAATATTCCAGTCTGGCCACGAATCTATATAATATATTAATATATGTATATATATATATATATATCTTTAGTATATCTTTTAAATACCTTGTGTTTTCATTAAAAAAAAATGTCGCTTACTACACCTTTAATATTCCAAGTGCATGCAGTACCTGAGAGCATAGCGCTATGTTGGCCCGCTAGCGTAGAGGGCCAGGTACTTAGAGCAATTTTGTCACCAAAAGCGTTTGCAAACGTTTGCAAACGAGACTGGCTCAGGATTCGATATTCAAGATTCAAGATCCAAAAAAAAACTTCTTGAATCCCGGGGCTAGGATCAGGAGAGTTTCTGGATTCAAGAAGTTTTTTTTGAATCTTGAATCTTGAATCTTGAATCCTGAGCCAGTCTAAGTACTTGGCCCCCTGGACTCGTTTGCAAACGTTTGCAAACACTTCTGGTGACAAAATTGCTCTAAGTACCTGGGTTCAACAGTAAGACAACAATTAATACACACATATGTGTATATATATATATATGGTACCCCCACTGGAACTCAAACTGAACAGGGTAATTTGTCCCAAAAGCGTTGCGACCTCAAAAGCGTCGTTTTTTTTTCGGGGAGGTACCTTATATTTATATTGTTTCTATGAATTTATATAGAATTTTCCTAAAATGGGGATACCCCCCTCCATATCATCCATTTCACACGGCACCATGAAGGTGCTCAGTTTGCTTCGCGGTTTGACACGAGTAGTGCAGGACATTTTGTGGATGTCCCATTTTTTGGGATTTCGTAGGGAAAAATTCCACATACTTGGGACCATTAAGGGGGGTCTTAAATATCAGGGGGATGGGATTGTAAGCATCCAGAAATGCCACTCAGACTTGAGATGTCAAGTTTTGCATAGTTGGAACACATGTTTTCCATTCTCACAAACTCGAATTGTGTGTTTTTGACAGATGGTCATGCTCATCCAATGGAGAGGTTCTATCCTTTTTTGAGACATGTCTATATATATATAATTATATATATACATATAATATGTCGATCTTGTTCGGATGTTCATATACACGTTCCATATGTTTGAAACACATAGCACCCGTCATTGCGATGCGTGATTCGCGAAGGACCGTGCAGAGGATGGAAGCATTGGAGGCCTAACCTGCAGTGGATGGATATGGATTCTTGAGAGTTGGGTCAAGACGTGCTAAACCCCAAGGATCTATGCAGGGTTTGGTCATGTAAACCTTCAGACGTCTGGATAGCTCATTGCGACATCTTGCGACCCATCACCAGCTCTTGAGTACCAGCAGTTGCAGCCTTCAGTTTTGTCGAGCTCGACAGCTGTTGCGCACCACGGAGTTGGTGATCTCGCAGACAATATTTGAGATAGCCGTTAAAGAGGTACAGCATCATGGATATGTATAATTAATTATAATTATAATCAATTATATATGTATTTTATCATTGGATAATGATAGGTTTCTGGGTTGCCAAATTTCAGTGAAAATTTGGGGACCTATGCAGTCAATTCTGTTTTTCTTCTTCGTCACGGTCAAACCCCATCTTTGTGTGTCGAAATCCACATGTTTGCTGCTCAAAAACCTGACATGTTCCCAATTTCTCCAGGTTTTGCGGATTCTCTGAATGTATTCTCAATGTGTTTCCTTGGAAACCACGAGTGCAATGGATTTTGTCCCCAATTGGCTGGTCATTTCGACCACTGGGGGCCCACGCAGGTGGCCAGTTGGCAGAGGACTTGCGGTCTTCTCTGCGAAGGCGATGGGTTGATTTTAACATCAGGGAGGAACTACATGTACAGTACTGTATAGATAGATTAGATTAGGTTAGATTTGGTTAGATTAGAGTAGAGTAGAGTAGATTAGTTAGTTAGATAGATTTAGAGTAGATTAGATTGGATTAGTTAGATTAGATTAGATGAGTTAGATAGATGAGATTAGATTAGATAATCTTAAATCAGATTTGATAAGATTAGATGAGATTAGATAGATGATGGATAGATAGATAGATAGATAGATAGATAGATAGATTAGATTAGATTAGATTAGATTAGATAGATAGACAGATAAATAGATAGATAGATAGATTGATTGATAGATTGATAGATTGATAGATTGATGGATTGATAGATAGATAGATTAGATTAGATTAGATTAGATAGATAGATAGACAGATAAATAGATAGATAGATAGATTGATTGATAGATTGATAGATTGATAGATTGATAGATTGATAGATAGATAGATATATTGATTCATTGATTCATTGATTCATTGATTGTTTAGATAGATTGATTAGGTAGATTGATTAGATAGATTGATTAGATAGATTGATTAGATAGATTGATTAGATATATTGATGAGGTAGATAGATTAGATAGATAGATTAGATAGATAGATTAGATAGATTAGATAGATATATAGATATATAGATAGAAAGATAGATAGATAGATAGATGGATGGATAGATGGATAGATGATAGATAGATAGCTAGCTAGCTAGCTAGCTAGCTAGCTAGCTAGGTAGGTAGGTAGGTAGGTAGATAGATAGATAGATAGATAGATAGCTAGGTAGGTAGATAGATAGATAGATTAGATAGATAGATTAGATAGATAGATGGATTGGATTGGATTGGATTGAATTGGACTGGATTGGATTAGATTAGATTAGATTAGATAGATTAGATAGATTAGTTAGATTAGATGGATTAGATAGATTGGATAGATTGGATAGATTTGATGGATTGGATGGATTGGATGAATGGATAGATAGATAGATAGATAGAATGACAATATGTATATGTGTATTTGTGTATATGTGTATATACGCATGCATGTATATTGGTTATACATGCAGAAACTTGTGAGTATCACGGTATCACGAAATTGCCACCTGGTTCCGGTTGTTGGATGGATGGTTCCCCCTATGGTTGCCATCCCAATTGTTGTGCCCTCGGCCTGTGAAACCATCTGTGGGGCGATGAACATCCACAGAACCAGCTATTTTGATGCACGGCTTTGCTACCCCGACTAGATAGCAGTTCTTCTTTGCTGAAGCAGGGCCTACGACTAGCAACGGAATGATTTGATTGATCAACATTATGTACAATCAAACGTGATTATCCAGGAAGAAAGCTCACAAGACATGCATTTATATATATATATTATATATAATATTTGAGTTCGGAAATGAGTTTGATTTCCCAAGACGTGAGTGTGCAATCATGTCCTCTACCATTTGTTTTCTTGTAGCAATTTATGGTCTGATTGTGGCTTCTGAAGGCTTCTGAAGGCTTCTCGTAAGTCCTTGCATTGCAGTGATGCAAAGACTGACGTCTGTGTACAGCTTTGTGTTTCTGTCAACAATTCATGAGTTTTAACATCTTTTATATAACATCACTTGAGGTGATTCAATGGTGCCCAATTTAGTCAATTCTTGATGGATTCAATGGATGTTGACTTTGTTTCTGGAGGAAATAAATGGGTATGTTGGAACATGGGGTGCCCCAAAACTCCATGGTTCAAAAGTTTAAAACTTCACTGCCGCCGTCAACAAACAGCACAAATTGGATGGTAAAAATTCATTTAAAAAAACATTTTCAGAAAACCGTGTAAGGTTTTCAAAGACCATGTCAACAACTGTCAACAACTACCCTTAAATATCACCTCTGCGTTGGTCACGTGCGCCAGTTTGCGGAAAGCTCGTGCCTTGCAAGATGTTTTGCTGCAAGAGGCGACCTGGTTTTCGGGCTGTAAGCGGGTCAGCGTGGAGTTGGATGACAAATGAACGAAAATGAAGATTAACATGATTTCATATGATTTCATATGATTTCACAAGTCAAATGTGCCCACAACATCCCACAACTGGTTCGTATGACTTATGATGTATGTATATAATAATAATAATAACAATAACAATAATAATAATAATAAGAATAAAAATAATAATAATAATATATATATATATGCGTGTGTTCCATGTATGGACCAATATTTGTCATATATACATGTTATGATGTTATGTTCATGCCGATGCGAGTTTGCAAGTCCTGGCTTGCCAGGTCGCCCGTGCCGTCGACGTGCTTGGCCGGGAGGCACCGAGCCGCGAGACGACTCGTAAGTGTCGTGACTGCTCGATTCGCAGAAATTGGAGCTAGATTCGCATCATTCGTGTATTGTACTGGATAGAATCGGATAGAAATAAGTGGAAAACCGTTTTTCCCAGATCCTCCCAAAGTGAAGACTCAAAAGGTGGTCTCTGTTTGTGTTCCAACGTATATATATATATATATATCTCTATATACTCACATTGTTCAAAACAGTCATGGGATATCAGCAGCGATGTTACACCCAAACCATCCATGGATTGTAGTTTCAACCAAAATTATAATATTATTCATTCTTGACTATAATTGTATGAATAGCATGAATATCCCTACTATTATGCAATATCATGATTGTAATCCATACAGTAGGATAGCACTCGGATTTTATCGAGACATATGTATACTGCATACATTTGTTTCAACCATATTCACCAAAAGTAATTATATTTATATACCTTCACATTTACCACAACATTTACCGTGTTTTTGACCATTATTTACCATTTGTTAGCATTCTTTGCACTGATATTTACCCTCTGGTAATTTAACATAGCTACGTGTATTGAAAATCACAATGTATAGTAGGTTAATGATCTATAAATGCTTCATTTTCAATAGCAAACTGTTAAGTTACCAGAGGGTACCATTAGATCATTCATGTACTGCACACTCAATTCGTTATTTGCCATTCGTTAGCATTCTTTACAATGATATGTGCGTATTATCCTTTGGTTATTTAACGTAGCTATGGAAAATGTTTCCATTTATAGATGATAAAAATGATGATTTACCCATTAAAAATGGTGGGTATTTCCCAGTTCGCTACGTTACATAACCAGAGGGTATTTACCTAGATTTGCAATTCAAATAGCTCCATGACCATCTCGAATTCGGAGTCGCCATCGCAGGTGGCCGAGAAGTCCTTGCCTTCGGGCTGGCTTCACTTGGTCGGCAACTTCCAGCGCAACGAAGAGGCCGGGCGTGAAAAAACGGAAACCATGGAGGAATCCCATGGGAAAGTGCAGGAAACCTATAGGGAGCGGGAACAAAATCCCATCAGCAAAAATTGGAGGAATATTGGAGGAGATGAATTTGAACCACGGCTGATCATGGTTGCAACATGTTGCAACAAAAACAATCCCTGCAACTCCCAGAAGCTACTGCACCTCGGCTAACCTGAGCCAGGCCCCGTAGAGTCCAGATTGCCAACGTGTCAGGTTCCTGGAATATCTTCATTTGGCATCAAACTCAAAGATCCGAATCAACAAAGGCATAAAAGCAGCCCAAAAGTCGTATGTCCCAGACACGTTGATCTCAGCCGGCAAAATTGTGGATCTGTCGTTTGTCCACACGTTGGATACATCCAAATATGATCTAAAACTCATTAAAGTATGAAATTATCCTTTTGGTGGTACTGATTTTGGCTTATGCCTACACATTCTGTTGGTTTCCATCTGTTTCCCACATTTTAGTTTGTTTTAACTTTGCATGCGTGTGTGTAATTATGTGTTTTTGTCATTTTGTCTCGATCAATCAGGAGTTTTCTTGGCATTTCTTGCTTAGATCTTAAATTTATCGTTAAATGTCATATTTCCATATATTTCCGGCTTACATTCCCCAGTTGTAGTGCCCATATGCTCCGTGCTGGAATCTTTACGAACATTGGATAATTCTTTGGATGATTGGTAAATATTCCAATTATAGACCATTATAGAATGGTTTTGCTATTCATATCCCAGTTATGAATGCTTATTGTTGGTAAATGTCCCAGTTATTGATAGCAAAACTGTGATTTAGTAAATCCCATGTAAATCCCAAAATCGCCATTAAATCCCATTTATCTCCATTAAAATCCCATCAAAATTCCACGAAACCCCCCAGGGGTGGCTCAACTTGAACCCCTGCAGGACGAAGCGGTGCTGGCGGCGCTGCAGCAGTTGCGTGAGGCGATGCTACAAGAGTTGATTGCATCCATCGAGGTGTGCTGAGTCAACCAGCAACCGGGGGATTGGACCATGAAAAATGGGGCGTTGAGTTGACGATGAAATATGGGGATTTAACCGTTTAACCATGAAAAATGAGGATTTAACTGATTTAACCATCAAAAAGGTGGAGTTTAAGCATGAACAAAAATTAGGAAAGCATGGATTTAACCATGAATAATGAAGCATTAAAAATATGGATTCAACATGATTCAACCATGCAAAGCATTGGATTTAATCATGGAACAATTGGGTTTTAACCATGAAACATATGATGTCAACAATAAAGTTGAGGCTTAATATGATTTGTGTAAGCATTAAATGCCGGGGGATGATTGGGATGTGCTCATTCAACATTCCTGTCGACGATTCCAGTATGTAGGGGACTATCCGGACTATCCTACCACTATTTCTATAGTAGTGGGGATTCTCATAATCCATGAACTGAGAATCCTGATTCACCAGAAATACTTGAAAGGTACATGATCTATCATACCTCAGGTTCATTGTTGTCCATGTAACTGTTCTGGCTCTAGAGCTCGACCTAGGTAAACACAAGACCTCGTCACAAGCAGTCAGAGGAAAACAGACATTTGCGGAAATAGTACTTCTTTGTCACGTTAGTTCCTCTCTTTTTCGAGTTGGTAGCGGAGCCGGGAACCCCGGCAGTAACCCCATTTAAGGTATCTGCTATACCCTAAGGGTCGACTCGACTGGTTCATTTTCTTTTCATCCTTACTCCATTGATTGTCATCATGTTCACCGCCGTGCTGAAGTTGTGTGCCGTGTTAGTAGTGGCACTGGTGGGGTCTTTCTCAGCCAGCACTGGTCTGGTGATCAAGAGTCGCAATACTAGCGCTCTTGTGATCCAGTCCAGTGCGGTTGGGGCAGGCTCGATCAGTGTCACTACACACTGGTATGCAGCGAGCAATGGTCGTAAAGCCCCAGTACAGGCCAGGTCCGAAGGCGAGTACAAGCCCAGTCTGGTGAATGGGGATCTTTGGAGGCAGGAGCTGAATTCGACCCTGGTGCGGCTGCACCACTCAAGGAGGAAGTTCAAAATGAACCCTCGAGATCAGCGTAGGGCAGAGCTTTTGCGTAGGCGGCTTAGACGGCAGCAGAGATCAGTACTTGAAAGAATGTTGAGCATGTATGACTCTAAGCTGAAACATCTAAAGTCCCGTCACAAGGAACTCTGTGAGCTGGTCTATGGGAAAGATGCAGCCATTAGATCCAGGAATCATTGCATGACCGGATCCAAAGCAGGCAATCGGAAGGTGAAGTCTCCTGAAGCCCATGACAACTCGGGTTCGATGACCGCTGGTCGCCGTGATGGTAGATCGCTCTCGGACTCGACACTAGTGTTAGCCGCTGGAGGCGGCCTCAGCACATGTGCGTTAGTCGCTTGCATGGTGCCAGGTAGGAGTAGCCATCCAAGATTGCCCCCCGCATGGAGCCCCGAAATGGAGCATCAGTATAGTTTCAGTACTTGGTCTAGAGACATCTTGATTTGGAGCATTGCTACAGATGGGGATGCATCTCGGAAGGCGGCTAGTGTGATTTCTCAGCTGCAGGGATCAGCTAGGGAGTTCAGCAGGACACTCCCGCCTCAGACCATTCTGACAGGGGGGACCGTAAATGGTACCCAAACCGATCCACTAACGTTTCTGATGTATCAACTCAGCACCCGATTTGCCAGGCTAGGTGAGGAAGTCCGGCTAGGGGCAGTAGGAGATCTGTTGTCCTTTGGAAGGGAATCCAACGAACGGATCGACACGTTGCTGACTAGGTTTGATACTACCCGCATGCGTGCGGCAGAGACAGGTGGGCTCGCCCTGAGCTATGCTGGTCTTTCTTGGTTGCTGATCCGCGCAGTTGGTGTCTCGGATTCTCAATTGATCCAACTATTGCAGCCACTCGGTGGTGCTCTCCCTGCTGATGAGCAGCAGTTCACGGAGTTGAAAGGTGCCATTCGACGCATGGGTAGGATCATTGAAAATGCACCAGGAAATATGTCCAATATGTTGCGGGGTAGACAACAACCAACACATAATTACCATATTCAGGACGATCACTCATGGAATGAAAATGTACCCACATCTCAGTATGACCACCCCAGTAGTTCATGGCATGACCATAGTTCTTGGCAATCCCAATGGCAGTCATCCGAAGCATACCCTACTTATACACAGCCACATGATCCATACGTGTATTTGTCAGATGGTCAGGGTGACAGTGGCACCGACACCGATACCAGCAGTGACTATGGAGATGAATCCTGGCCAGCTGCTGAGGGTGCCACGGCCAACGAACAGGCTGCCGAACCCTACTGGGCCTATTCCCGTGCCAAGGCACGCTGGAGGTCATTCATGGGCAAGCCGACCCGAAAAGCTCGGAGGTTTGCCCGGAGAGCCATCAATAAAGGTGGAAAAGGTGGTAAGACAAAGTATGGAAAATCCAAAGGCAAGATCATCAACACTTCATCTTACTTGTCCGAACTCAATGAATCCCAGCTCATGGAAATTTTCCCTGCCTTTAGGGCAAAAGGTGGAAAGAAAGGGGCAGGGAGTGGCAAGGGTAAGGGCAGAAAGGGCAATCCAAGAGGCCCGGATGGACGTAGGATGAAATGCCACGAATGTGGTTCGGAAGAACATCTGGTCGCCAAATGCCCCAGACGGGCTGCCGCTGGTGACACTTCGCAGAACCTGTTTGTAGACTTGGATACCGTCGATCAAATTCCCCCAGGGGTAATCACATCAACCACGGTCCTCATGGTTAATGAAGTGGATGTCAATGTTGGACAGGAATCCGGAACTGATCATTGGTCAACAGTTTCTGGCGGACCTCCATCAAATGCATCCACGTTGCCAGCTGTACCCCAGGACCCGTGGGCCAACAGTGATCCTTGGAGGCGGTACCACGAGAGCAGGACAGGGAGGCAGGTCGTTGGGGGGATTGTGAACCCTATGCCACCACTGCCGCGCACGACCCGGACAGTGGATATGGCCGACCAATCCTTGTATATGCAGAGTGTCTTCAACGGCCTGAATGGCCTGATGCATCCGACCACGGAACCACGATCATTCGGACCGCCACTGATGAACCAATTTACCCATAACACCCCATTAGCCACTAATCCAATGAATAATCCTCCCCAGAATAACCCCACTAATCCACAGGGCAGAAATGTAAACAATGAACCATTTTCACAGCAACCTGTTGCAGAATCGACTACTATTCAAGAACCATATGTTGCCCAAAACATGCAACCACCACCAATGCAATTACCACAGGTCCAACGGCACGAAGTGTCGCAACACCCACTGATCGTGGGACCAGGGGAGATCCCTACGGTGATCCTTCGGCATCCGGCACCGGAATTACCAGAATGGGCGTCAATGCCCGAGTTCAATTTCCTGCAGGGAACTGCCGCGGAGGTGCATGCACCGACCTATCATCCGATTGTCTCGGAGAATGCTATCAGCACTCTTGACCCGATCCGTAGTCAAGTTGTGGGGGACTTTCATCAGGCAAGCCAGCTGCGTGAGGTCCCAATAGCCTCTAGAACATCCGGACAGGTCAGTGAACCAGCATTCAACCATCCGCAGGTACGTGCTCTTCATCATCAACACCGGACGATGATGACCTTGCAGGAGATGAGGAACAGAGGCTCGGAAGGTTCGAGGAGTGAGGTGAATCCGGCCCCCACTGCTGTGCCCTCGAATAATGCAGAACCCATGGTAACTCCACATGCCGAACACACCAATGTTGAATACTTAGGGGATGAACACCGCTGCAGCATCTGTTTGGAAGAATATAATGCAGGAGAACAACTGGTGCGATTGACCTGCAGGCATACCTTCCATGAAAATTGTTGGACTGAAGTTCTTTTGAGGGAAGAAAATCCAACATGCCCATGCTGCCGTGGTGGGGGACATGTAGTTGCACATTATCGCTACATCGCACCCACATCTCCAAGAGCAGATCAACATGATGAGTTTAGGACACCATATGGGACCCCCACTTTTCCATGGTGGCCAGATGCTCCAGAAGCTGCTGGAGCCGCCACAACCTACCACTCATCCACCCAAGTGCCTGGTCACCAATCAATTGTAGTTGATCCCGGGGCATGGACCAATCTAGCAGGTCAGCAATGGGCTGAACGCCAAGCCACAGCCGCGCGGAATGCGGGCTTGAGGTCGACGCGTAAGTCTATGACTAATCCAATGGCTGTCAGGGGAGTAGGACAGGGTACTCAAAGCTGTACGCATGTTGCCACATTGCCGATAGCAATACCCAACATCATCCACCCCCGATCTCAACCGGAAGAAGGTGATGGTCCATTGGTTAGGGGCGAATCTGTATCATTCAACTTCGAAACCCCCATGGTAGAAGGGGAGGGCCGTGACCTCCCGGCACTACTTGGCTTGAGGAGCATGAGCAATCACAACGCCGTGCTGGAAATGGCACCTGGCAGGGAAATGCTCACCCTCACAGCCACGGGTAGCTATACCATTAGCTGGGGTTCGGACGCGATCCACATTCCACTTGAGAGGGCTCCCAGTGGACATCTTGTATTTAGGACTGACGCATTCCAGAGCATTCCCAGGAGAGGTGGTGGTTTACCCCCAACGGTCTATGGGTTATATAGCCATATGAATCGTCAGTACCAAGAAACTCCAGATGTTCCCATTGGCGTAGCCCCAAGTGATAATCCGTACGCAGATGTCCCCGAAACCCGAGCAGAAGCACCTGCCAGATCATCCACAGAAGCCCCAGCCAGGAGTGCAACACGAACTGGACAACCATCTCCAGTATCACCATCACCAACCCCATCACCTGCATCACCATCACCACTGCCAAAGACAGGACAACCACCATCAGAACCACCTCCAGCACCAAGACCAACACCAACACCTGCACCACCATCACCAATACCAAAGGCAGAACCACCATCAGCAGAACCAGCTCAACCATCGATGCCAACACCAACAGAG